TTTTACTTTTCACCCACGGGTTGAAAGTTTACTTTTCTCCCGTGGGCCTAAAGTAAGTGAAATTGTTGAAATTTATTGTATTTTCTTAGTTTTCATTGAAATAAAAATTACAAAATTCGAATGATTGTAAATAAAATAGTATACATACCTCAGTGAAAATTTTCATTACTGTCTCGAAATTTTAGTTGACTCCCGATTGCACCTCGGTCTAACCGTTGTAAAATCTCTCGACAGTTATAAAACACTTTCTCCACCTCGATATGTAATATACTAATATTTTAAACCATATTGGCGATTTCGACTACCGATGGGGGCGCTGGCGTTTGTAAACAAATATGGCGGAGAACGAGTGATATTTTGACATTCAGCATTGTATTTCTATGCATTCGTATTTCTTTCGCTAATTTTCTCGTTGTTCTCGTAGTTTTTTCGGTGGTTTTTTACTATATTTTATAAATTTTGAACGTTGTGACTTTCTTTTGTGCATTTCGTATCCATACAACACGAAATATGGAAAATGGAGGCCTGTTTTTGAGTTTGGTCACAGTTTTATCCTACCTGCAGGCTGGAGTAGAAAGCACGATAACTATTTTTTTTAGGAAAATAATGAAAATCAATAGTTCTGTCTGCACCTTTTCGGGAATGGCATTCGTATACACAAGAGTTTGTGTTATGCTTGGAACGCTTGGAGGCAGATGCCATTGAATTTCTGTAATAATAGCACCCCACAGAATGACAATAAAAGCTTTCCCTTTAATATTTCCCACTTTTCAACACAAAACACGTAATTTAAATTAGGAACAATAAAATATTCCAATACGGTATGTAAACAACCGATCTATTACTTGTTAAGTTAAATCCAAATATTTCCGCCAGGTGCCACATTGAATTTTGAAATCGCCAATATGTAATTTTCACATTCCTTACTGGTTTGAAGGTTCGAAAATGTCACTCTACTTTTGTTTACTTTAACGCTTCGGTCTGCGTGACTGTTCTTCTGTCACTTTCGGCCTGGAGAACTCACTTTCGACCCTGATAAATTGTTCTTTCACACCTAAACACAAATTCAGGTGCAATGTTTGTATTTAGAAGTAAATGTCACATGTGTTTATATTATTGAAATTTCATAAGAGCTGCTTTTGGGTGCCACCCGTTGAGCGCTCCCGAGTTACTCCGAAGTACTCCGGCTACAGTTTGACCCGTGGGGTTTCAAACATTCGAGTGCAAAACGCATGGAGTATGACAGGTCACTCACATGTGTGAAGTGTTCTAGGAGCACTCGAAAGCGGCTAAGATGTCAATGTCGGTGTCAGACTGTCCATTCCATTTCTGTCATATTTTTACCTTATTTTTTTTCCAATAATTAATGGTTCAAAATAAAATAGTATATACACACATCAAAATAGTCTAGGGAACAAGATGCAACTGAATACATTTATAAATTGAACAAAATATACTTTTGAAAGATTTTTAAATTTTGTTAAAGCCTGCTGGAAAAGCCGATATGATAAATTTTACAAGATTTGTTCAACAAATACCCATTTGGTATCTTTTTAAAAAAAGTTACTCTGTCTAAAAATTAAAAGACGAATATTTCTTGTTCCCTAGACTTTTGTGATGAGTGTATATTTTGGTGGAAAGTTTTTACATTATTGTCTCGAGAATTGGTTGACCATAGTATCTCTCGACAATAATGAAACACTTTCCACCTCCGCATCTAATATACTATTCCTGAGGGGAACAATAAAAAGTTTAATTCGTTATACGCTACAAAAGCCCTTTTCATTCTGGCCCTACAAAAGTAGATTTTTTTTATCTTGCATAGGTGAGCGAAAGTGTAAGTGAAGCATGCTTGTAGGTACCTTCACTTTCGCATGCCTATTCACGATTTTTGAGGGGAAAGGATGGAAAGTTTAATACATCACATGTTGCACAAGTCCTGTTAGGTGCTCGGAGGTATTCAAATAGCCGAGGCGAAGCGAAGCGCAGACTCGGCTATTTGAATACACGCACCTGAAAGTACGCTTTCGCAGCTTGGAATTTAAATAACTATTTAGGTGTTCGGAGGTATTAAATACACCTCGCACCTAAAAGTGCGCTTTCGCAGCTTGGAATGTAAATAACTATAGTTCAATTCAATTTCAATTCTTGATATCGTGGATTGGTAGCTACTTTCAGACACACAACTAGTTATTCTTCTTACTAATTCTATAGTGCCGTAAAAAAATAAGATTTTTTCTGTTTTATCCCGAAAAGGAAGGCAAGAAGGTTATTTTCTGAAATGTTTCTTAGTTAAAATATTTGTTTATTTATATTTTGGGCTAGGATAAAGATTCAGACTTGCGGTTTTCATCAGAATCCTTATTTTTTTATCCTCTTTCCATCTAAATTATAAAAAAAGCATCATTATATTTAAAATTTCCGAGAAAAAATGGAAAATTGCCGACTTTTGGACACAGCGCCCCCTAGCGGCAACATATCAATTTAATTTTGTTACTTTTGTTATGTATTTTATTGAACAGAAAAAACTCTTTCAAATGACACCCGATTCATTGAAATCGGTTGAAAAACAAAAAAGTTATATAACTTTTGTTCCTAACAACTTTGAACCTTCCCCCACCTCTTATTTGAAGAGTTAGGGTAAAAAATCCTTAACAAAATTTTTTCGTAATCTCATCAAGATTTCAAAAATCATATTTTTTGTATACCTTTAGTAGGCGTTTTTTGAAGATAATCACAGTATTATGTTTTCGAGTGTTCGTTGAGCCCCCTAGCGGTCAACTTACAAACTTGAAAATTATTTCCAGCAATTTCTCTTGGCCTATTTTATTGAAAAATTTTTTACTTGGAAGCTCTAGAACTAATAGTTCCTGAGATATAGCCGGCGACCTTTCTTATTTGGACACCCGGTACAGAATGATTGGCCAACAAACAAAAAGGAAAATTGAAAAATATGCACTCAATTTTTATTATAGACGAGACTCCGTTGTTCAAGTTTGTCTAATGTTTGAAGACAGAATAGTCATACCGTTGAAATTTCAGAATTTTCTTCTAAAATCACTACATACTGGTCATCCTGGACAAGAAATAATGAAATCCATAGCTCGTGGATATGTTTACTGGCCAAATATAGACAGGGATATTATCAATTTTGTCCGAATATGCGAAAAATGTGCAGAAGCTTCAAGAAGTCTATCAAAAATTTCTCCAGTAGCATGGCCTGTTCCAGAGGGTCTATGGCAACGAATTCATATAGATTTTGTTGGTCTTATGAACGATTATTATTATTTAATTATTGTTGATGCCTATTCGAAGTGGCCTGAAGTTTTTGAAACTAAAACAATCACGTCAAGCTTTACAATATCAAAATTAGTAGAAGTATATTCACGATTTGGAATTGTTGAAACAGTTGTATCAGACAATGGCAGTCAATTCCCTTGCAACGAATTTAAACAATTTTGTCAGAAGAATGGTATTGAACATATTCGCACAGCAGCATATTGGCCACAGTCAAATGGTCAGGCAGAAAAGTTTGTTGACACCTTTAAAAGCGCACTTTCAAGTCATAGGCAATTACAAGATATAAACATATTTTTAAGAGTGTACAGGTGTACTCCAAATCCAAATTCTCCAGATGGAAAATCTCCGGCTGAACATATGCTAAGAAAAAGAATGAAAATTCCACTTGATTTGTTACATCCTCCGAAAAATATCCAGATTAATGAAATTTCGAACAAATTTAAAGAAGAAGATTTGATTTATGCTAGAATTTACATAAATAACAAGCTCCGCTGGATTCCTGAAAAAATCATAGAACCAATTGGCATGGGTGATGTACAACATACTAGTGCTTTATCCAAATAATCACAACATATTGAGAAGATGTCATACTAATCAAATTAAAAAAAGATATGTTAAATAACCAAAGCAAAGTTTTCCGATCTTTTACATTTTTTAATAGAAGAGTTTAATTTGCAAGAGAACTTAGAACAAAGCACAGATCAGTGTTTAGATCAAAAAGTTATCACTGAAAATATACCAGATAATAACAATTCATAACAGGAAGAAATGGTCGACTGTCAAGAACATAGTGCAAATACTGTTAGTTCTAATGGAGCTGTTCTGAAGGAATACAATTTAGATAGTGAATTTAGAAGATTGGGAAGATTAAGAGGAAGACCTTCGAATTCAAGATTTATTAGAAAAAAAGCAAGAAATGTTAGGAAACAGTACCACACAGTACCAGAAGTACCTACATACCAGCAAGTCGAGTTTTGATTTTTGTTATATTGTTTGTCATTGTATTTTACTGTTGAATTTAGTAAAATCTTTTCAAAAACAAATATTGTTGTAGTTAATCCGAATATTTGCAATTTTAATAGTTTCTGAGATTTTATACGGAACGGAACAAGAGAATTAAACACAGAATCAAAGGACATCGGCGAAATAACTGAAGCAATACTCTCGAAACACATAGAGATAGTTAAGTTCAAAAATGTTCATTCGAGTTTGTATAGAAAAGTAGAGCCTGATATTAAAAGAGTTGAGATAATTTTTTTTAAGTCTTAAGGAAAACATATTTATTTGGGCATAATCTGCCTAGCAATGCTCGGAGATTCTCAGCCTGGGATGGTCCCTAGTAATCGTACAGTTTAAACAGAGCGCCACTAATAATTTAAAAAATTTGAAGAAATATCCACATTCAATCATCATTGTTTTTTTTTTTTTGCTGCGAACCAATGCTTTCAATCAACTTCGCTTCAATTAGCCAAACCTTTTAAGCTGAAAAAACATCACATACATTTGCCGTATAGAAGTTCAATTTTTGATTTTACATAAGCCCTACTCAAACTCAAAAAAAAATCCAAATTAGACGAAAATCACTAATAAAAACATCCCACACGATTGGTGGGCGTTGTTTAGTATAGACCAAAAACTACCCTCTCCGGATTCCGTATAAAAGCCGGCCTGTTGCCGGCGCCCCTCAAACTTTTGTAAACTGTTGCAGCTTTTCGGCAGTAGGAGAGAGCAGCAACAAGTTTGTGTTATTTAAGCGCGCATTCCGTTGAAGAAGTTAACAGTTGCTGACCGGCACGATAGTTGGTCAGTTCGTGGTTGATTTTCTTTACGAAGAATGTGTCACAGCAAGAAAGTTAAGACACCAGTTACCGCTCCGATGGCGAAATTTGTTGTTATTTTGGTCGCTGTTTTTCTTTCGGCCGAATGTGCTGCAGGTAAGAATTTTTTCTTGGTGCAAGAAATTTTAAGATTAAAAATGAGTAGACCCAAACATTGTCTTTGTAATTTCAATTTCAATGACGAAATGATGTTTAGTGATTTTTTTATAGTAATTCATTAAGCTACGATTCACCCCTTGTCTTTAAGTTGCATTTATTTGTTGAAAATATATTTTTTTTTCTATATAAAATAAATATATATTTAAATATCCACCACTTATCTTTATTTCACAAGCTGATTTTTGTTTGATACTTATTCACACAAATACATTATTCTAAAGGAAATAAAAAAAAAACTGGAAAAAAATGTCACTTGTGATTCTTTAGTAGGTTTTATTTTCTACATATGATTTTTCACGAAAAATTGGAAATATCCTAGGTTTTAGGTAAAGAATAAAAAATCAGTTGACTTCTCTTCCATCAAATTTTCGTTACTTCCTGGTACCTTCAAAAATCGCGAAAATGAAATAATTCTGAGGACCCCCTGTGAAAATTTCTATTTTTTATTATTTTTTAGAGATTTTTCTCAAAAGCTGTATAGTCTTTCACTATTTTGGGGTCGCAGGGCAACATTATAACATGAGTTAACTTCTCAACCTCTCTTGTTGTATGGTCAAGGGTAGAACATCAGTTGACTTCTTTTAGTCCATTCTTGGATCTTAAATTCTTGCTTGTTTCTAAACTTCTCCAAATACAAAGAAAACTCGAGAGGAAATACGAGAACGAGAGCCGAGAATAGAAAAATTATGACTACACTTTGCTAATAATTTCTTCTCAATTTGCCTTGAATTTCCTTTCCATTAATCAATTTCTCGGTCTCAATTTTTGTCTACTCTTGACTCTTGAATTCTTGCTTGTTTCTAAACTTGTCCAAATACAAAGAAAACTCGAAAGGAAATACGAGAACGAGAGCCGAGAATAGAAAAATTATCTACACTTTGCTAATAATTTTTTCTCAATTGGCCTTGAATTTCCTTTGCATCTATCAATTATTTCTCGGTCTCAATTTTTGTCTATTCTTGGCTCTTGAATTCTTGCTTATTGTTCTTAAATTTCTTCAAAAATAGAGAAAAATACAAAGAAAACTCGAGCGGAAGTGAGGACGAGAGCCGAGGATAGAAAAATTATGTCTACACTTTGCCAATAATTTCTTCTCAATTTGCCTTGAATTTCCTTTCCATTTATCAATTTCTCGGTCTCAATTTTTGTCTATTCTTGGCTCTTGAATTCTTGCTTGTTCTAAACTTCTTCAAATACAAAGAGAACTCGAGAAGAAATACGAAAACGAGAGCCGAGAATAGAAAAATTATGTCTACACTTTGCCAATAATTTCTTCTCAATTTGCCTTGAATTTCCTTTCCATTTAACAATTTCTCGGTCTCAATTTTTGTCTATTCTTGGCTCTTGAATTCTTGTTTGTTTCTAAACCTCTCCAAATATAAAGAAAACTCGAGAGGAAATACGAGAACGAGAACCGAGAATAAAAAATTATATCTACACTTTGCTAATAGTTTCTCCTCAATTTGCCTTGAATTTCCTTTCCATTTATCAATTTCTCGGTCTCAATTTTTGTCTATTCTTGGCTCTTGAATTCTTGCTTAATGTTCCTAAACTTCTTCAAATACAAAGAAAACTCGAGAGGAAATACGAGAACGAGAGCCGAGAATAGAAAAATTATGACTACCTACACTTTGCTATTAATTTCTTCTCAAATTGCCTTGAATTTCCTTTCCATTTATCAATTTCTCGGTCTCAATTTTTATCTATTCTTGGCTCTTGAATTCTTGCTTGTTTCTAAACTTCTCCAAATACAAAGAAAACTCGACAGGAAATACGAGAACGAGAACCGGTAATAGAAAAATAATGTCTACACGTAGATCCTTAACAATTTCATCAAACTGTCATCCAAATTGAATCGGATCTAAATTGAAAAATATCTATATTTAAAATGTCGATCTTTTCTTGTTCAAACCATGGTATTCAGCATGCTTTATATAGCCCCAATAAGTTTAAAGGCTTTTTTCGTTTAAACATATCACCAAAACTCGTTATTGAGTACCCACATAAAGCTGGAAAGGCTAGACAAGCTTTTTCCTATCTCACCTTACTTTCAAAGGAGACTATAGAGTGTCCTACAAGGCTAACCGATCTTAGTCCCTACAATTTTGTATATTTTCCTAATGTTGTTTTAAAGTTTAATCCATCCGTAGCCCTGTGCAGGCCCAAAGTTCAAACTCAGTGACGCTTGAGTAAAAATCTAACGTTCTACTTGTTCCATTTACTCAGGACTAAGTTTCGATGTCTTTAAAATACAAGTAAATTTACCAAATGCACTATCAACATTGATTTAGACCCCATTTAAATGATGTATTACCTATTTACTTGACTTATGTTACATTAGATACTTTAAGTTAGTATTAGTTTAGTTCATTGATTGAGGTTTTGAAGTAAATTTTCAAATTTAACTGTGGGAGTGTTTCATACAACCTTTATTCTCTGATACGTACATAAGTGACATCGTACTTAAACTTCCCCTATCTCCTGTACCTATTTTTAATTAAAAAAAAAACATTCTAAAATTATACCTAGTACATTACCAAAGGAAGGTTTACGGAATTTAACATACCATTACATAATTAGAACTTTGAATGTCAACTAACAAAAAGAAGTTTGAATTAAAGTAAATAAATTTTTCATGACAAAATCATCAAATTTTTTTGTTTTCGTTTTTCTCGTCTTTGTCTTCCTTTAGGTCTTACATATCCTTGTATCTCTGTAGTATTTCCACTTTTCTCTCTCTTCTTAATTTTTAGATCCTTTTCCTTGATTTCAGGTAGTTTTACCAACAACTTTCTGTTTTTCCTTAGAACATCATATTTTGTCTTGACCATAAATGAATTTAATTCTCGACATTGTCTTACAATGTTTCCATTACATTTTACATCTTTTATGTAAACTAGGTCATTGTCATTCAATTTTGGTAAAATTTTTATCTTCCTAACGTTTTCATGGTAAACCAGTTTTGGTTTTAGGTTTTTCTTTGTGGTAGGTAAAATTTCTCTAAGTTTTCTTTCAAATAGTAGTTCTGAAAGAGAGTTTCCACATGAAAGTGGTGTATTGCGGTATGCTAATATTCTCAAATGAAAATCTTCACACTTTTTTAACAGTTTTTTCACTAACTGTAAGCTCTCTCTGCTGAACCATTACTTTGTGGAAACCTGGGGCTACTTATTATATGGTTGAAGTTGTAAGTTTTTGCAAACTCCTTGAAACTGTAATTATCAAATTGTGGTCCACCGTCTGAGTATAATATCTTTGATGTCCAAAGATTTCTCTCAATTTTTCAATAATGTCTTCACTTTCAGTTTTCTTCAGTGTAATAATTTCTTGATATTTTGAGTACACATCCTGTATGACAAGGTAGACTTGATTTCTGTACTGGAATAAATCTGCTGATACATGCTGAAATGGTAAGTCTGGCAATTTTCGAAGTGTCATAGGATCTGTTATCTGATTCTAGTTCTTCAGACATCCATGACAATTTTGTACTGTTTCTATGATATTATTATTAATATTGGGCCACCATACAGTATGTTTTGCTCTAGATTTGCAACTATTTATGTCAATATGTATTTGATTTAAAGTTTCTCTGTACATAGATGAAGGAATTATAAGCCTGTCTTTGTAATACAACAAACTGCCATATTATGTAATTTCATTACGATACTTGAAATATTTTTGACATGTTTCAGTTACTTGTGATGCTTTTTCTGGCCATCCCTGCATTAGATAATCACTAAGTTTTTGAAACTCTTCTTGCTGTGCTTTTTCAACCATTTGGCGTGTTAACTTCAAGTTATCTTCAGTTTATTTCCTTATAACATTCACATAGCATTCAACTTCTTCTTCCAATACATCTTTTCCATTATCTATCATGTTCAATCTCAAATGTAAATCTAGTTAATCTAAGTCTAAATCGTTGCAATCTTACATCATTTAAGGATTTCTTCTTTAGGATACTCAAAAGTGGAAAATGATCATAGTTTGTATAGTAAATGATTTACCTATTAGGTACTCTTCCAGTCTTTCACATAACCATACAATACCATATGCTTCCTTTTGAATTTGGGCATAGCGTTATTGTGTTTTACTTAAACTTTTTGAACAATTTGTAATTGTTCTAAACCATTTCCGAAAGAACTCGAGTTTGCGAGAATTCTGGTTTCTTTATAGTAAGTAAGCTTTCAAAACTAGTGCACTTGTGACAAGCATTTTTAATTTATTGAACACTGTTGATGGATATCTTTAAACTGAAAAGTATTGTTACGTTTTAAAAGTTCGCGTAAAGGTTTTGTTTCATCTGCAATATTTTTTAGAAATTTTGATGCTTCCGAAATGCCTATCTGACATTTTGACTCGCTTAAGGTAAGTCCATTGTCTCGTAACACTTTAAGCACTCCTTTAACCTTTCATCATGCTGTCCAACATTTTCTCCAAAAACTGTAATGTCATCAATGTGTACTAATACCCCTTCATGGTTATTGAAAAGTCTATTCATTGTACGCTGAAAAATGTCTGGAGCAGAAGTAATTCCAAAAGGGAGTCTCTTGTAAATGTACCTTCCAAAAGGTGAAAAAAGGGAGTGTAATGCTTCGAACCTTCTGATAATGGAAGTTGCCAAAAACTTGATACACAATCTTATTTTGAAAATACTTTTGCATTTATTATTAGTGCCAGTGTAGAATCCATAAGTTTTTCTCTTAAAATAAACTTATTGAGTTCAGTGAAGTCAGCACATATTCTAACTTGATCATTTGTTTTGGGGACACAAACCATTGGTGCACACCATGGAGTAAAATTATTGTAATCCACCTGTTTTTCTCTTGATCCACCATTTTCTGTTGCTCTGTTTTAACTTTATCTATCAATGGAAGTGCTACTCTTCTGGGTGCTGAAATTGATTATGGCACACAGTTTTCTGTCATTTCTATCTTGTGTTCTAGGAAAGATTTTATAGTTTTTCTCAAACATACTCACAGTTTTCTGAGCATTGATGCTATTAATCAGTTTTAGCAAGTTCAAGTCTTGTATTGCAGGTCTGCCAAGTAAATTTTCTTGATTTTCCATGACACATACCTTGATTTTATTATTTTCACCCTTATAACTGATTTGAAGTGTACATTTTCCAAAAACATTCAATGGACATCCTCCAATTGTGAGAGATTGAAAAATCAGGAAGACACATCACTATCACTACTCACTACATAGTATAAAATAAAGTCGCTTTCTCTGTCCCTATATCCCTATATCCCTATGTATGCTTAAATCTTTAAAACTACGCAACGGATTTTGATGCGGTTTTTTAATAGATAGAGTGATTGAAGAGGAAGGTTTATATGTATAATAACATCCATTAAATAGTGGAGAAATACTGTTATTTTTGAGGTTTCCAATGTGATGTCGGAAATAATTACATTTCTTCCGCTTACATTGCAAACACAATGTAAAAAGTAAATAAGTAAAAATGTAGTGTATGAATTTAGATATTACAAAGATAGCAGGAAATCTTCATGGTATAGGGAAAGGGGAATTATTTTACTCCAAATTTAACGCGTGCGGGCCACGGGCAGTAATGAATAAATCAAAACTACTGGATCGATTTTAATCATTTTTTCAGTGAGTGAAATAGGCTATATATCATATACCCGTGCGAAGCCGGAGCGGGCCGCTAGTTTTTCATAAAACTCATCCCTTTCGAAATTATATTTTTAGACAAGCATTACATTCAAAATAATGTCGTGGTCAAGAAGCATTGACCCGCCCTTGTGTGGATCATGATCGGACCGTGACCTAAACTTTAGTGTGAACTGGCCTTCATTTATGCAGCCGCCCATTTATTTTAAAGTTTCAATTCTGGAAAAGTTTACCGCAAACAATATTCAAGTTAAATTACATTTTGAAACTACCAAATAGTATTTAGAAAGTAGAAATTTATACAAGAAATGTACCTACCTACCTACAGCAAAAAGAAATTAAACAAAAGAATGTATTTGAATAATAAAAAGCTTTTCCTGCCTAATCAAATCCTGGAACTGAATCTTATTGTTATAATGTAACAAAATATAAAGGCAAAATACATTTTATCGAAATCCGCACCAGGTGAAATTTTACTTTATTTTTCTTCATGTCAGGACATTTTCCAGATGTGGATTAGAGATCTTAAGAAGCAAAACTTGAAAACTGTGAGTTTTCTATATTTACCTACCTACTTCCCTTAATAAAAAAACATTTCAATATATTATTTTATATTGAAACAAAGACTTATATTGTAATAAGTACATAGATTACATGCAATTCAATGTAAGCTTTAATGTTAATGATTCAATCATACAGTGTAAATGTTGCTTATACAGTGAAACTAATATATTTGCAGAAGCAATCGATACTTTGCTAATCTTTTGATGTATTGTGGAAGTTTTCAGCTCGAATTTCAATTAATCTTTTTAAATATTTTATGTATGAAATTAAAGGCAAATTTAAACTTGAAGTGTTATGAAAGAACATGAGATTTTTATGATGAGACCCACTATTCCGTTCCGTTCAGGTCCCATCTGTCCCTGTTGACTTGTACGATAAAATCAAATCTTGGGAACTGGACAGACAATATGGAAAGACACAAGCTACATATTTTAGTCAAAATTCTATGCAATTGAACAAAAACCACTCCAATATTGAACCGTTTATATTTAAACCGCACATTTAAACGAACTAATTGGAAAGCTGAGTCGTGAATTCATTTATTAAGGATTCATATTATTATATATACGAAATTGCATATAATAATTTCGTCGCAATAATACGCAGTGGTGGAAAATTAAATTACGACAATGTCATTCATTTAGTTTTCGGGGCCGAAACGGTTTTAATCAAAATTTATACTCGCGACAGTTTAAATTAGAAGATTTAAAAGTTTATTGAAAAATCTTCTTCGTAAATTGTTAATTTTCTATCTAGTATTCGGAAAGCTTTTGAAATGTGTTGTGATTGGGAAATGAGAAGATTTCAAGCTTTCTACAATAATTTATTTGGAAATACTTATATAAAAAACCTCGGGTTTATCAATTTTATTTTTTTTTCACCTTGATTAGTCCTAAGCTTTTGGGGCCAAGTAATCCCACTTTAATTTGGGTACAAGAAAGGATTTTGAGAGAGTACCTACCTATGCTGTATTTAAAATACTCTTTCTGGTTATTTCTCTTGAAAAGCTAATGTCAAGGCACACTTGAGTGCATACATTCAGAATTATTTATAGATATGAATAATAAATCATTGCATTGTCTCAAATTTCGCTCTTTTGATTGAAAACAGATCCGGATTATTTATTCTAATAGTTCTAATACAAACAAACTTATGTGTTTCAGGACGATATGAAATTAAAAAAAGTAGGGGTATGTATTTTAGTAGTTTTGATGGATTACATGTATGTCTATTTAATCGCATGTCGTAGTTTTATTTATCAAATTTTTCCCATATTATTAATGTTGTAGATCGTAGACTCAAAAGCTTAGAAATTAATTTCTAATCCAATAAAGCCCATAAAATTTTTATTAGATCTTATGTGTGCACGTGTGCAAATAAGAGGGAGATGTTTTGGGGACATGGCGATTTCCAATTAATTCAAAAATATTCTTTATTCCCGCGTGTTTATGGAAAATTTACATAAAACTGCAGCAGCAATATGAAATGTAATCATTATTATTGTAAGCAAGAAAATGCTAATTGGCACCCCATAAAACTTGATTGCATTAATTAATTAATAAACCTGTTGGCTATTTGTTAAAGAATTCTTCTACAATTTTTTTGGTTTTACATTACTAGGTCATGAGCGCGCTTCGCGCGCTTTTTTTTTAAATCAAGTCCATCAAAATAATTATAAAATGGAAAATATTTATTAGGTGTTGTACAAAAAACAGCATAATTTTTGATTTAAATGTACATTATACATTAAATGTAACAGTGAGATAAGTTGTATAGATGTTATTCTAGTGAAGAAATTTCAAATGCGATGGATGGAGTTGGTGACTAATTATTTTTGTATGGTATATCATAATGATTTTAAATCGATCACATTTCTTGAATGTACGGTGTGCGTATGTCTACTTATCTCATTCTGTTTTATGGAACTCGTAGGTGTAGGTATACATTATTCGAAGTGGTTTATTTAAAACAGAATAATCATAACCATAATCAAGGTGTTATTATAAACCGAGTTAGTAACTATTTATGTGCTGTGGTATAATACGAGATATCGAGTCTTAATTTTTTTTTTACATTTTCATGAAGTTCCTTTTTTTTTATTAGGCCAGTTATTGAAGTCTACTCGATCAACATTTTACTGCAAACAATCGAAAAAAAAAAATTTTTAAAAGATTTTAAATTCAATTGCTCAATTATTCAACTTACATTTTTTGTTTGTACCTACGTGGTAGACATAAATTTTAAATGTGATCAAAGTAGTTGGTGAATTATTACTTTTGCGGTACATCGTAATGACTTTAAATCGATCTTATTTTTTGAATATACGGTGTGCATATGTCCAGTGCAACTTATTCTATTTTATGGAACTCGTAAGAATCCAAAGTTTAAAGAGTGCTAAGTCTTCATGTCGTTCTTCGTTATTTTCAATCATTTATGTTTATCGTGTTCAGGTTTTTGTCTTGTGATCTTCAAATATCTTGTAAATAAGTTGTAAAGATCTTCTGAAATCACCTATGACTGCGAAATTTCAAAATTAAATTATCAAAAAAACAATTCTTTAAAAACATGGTTTTTGACAACACTATTGCCTCTTTGTTTCCCTGAATAAAGTTTGAATGAGTCCCACGAACGAACTCTGAAAAGCGCCACATAAAGTTGTCCGTGACTAATACATCCTTTCTGGAGATCAATTACTATCCTATCAAATGTTTGTCCTTGAGATTTGTTAATCGTAACTCATTGCAAAGGCTAATTTTATTTTAAAATTGTCTTTGTTTGAACGTAAAGGGGTAGACGTTTTCGCAGTAGAGTGTTATTCGATTTATGAACACTATTTCTCCCTGTTTATCTACAGTCAATATCTCACAGCGTAACAGATTATCCCCAAGTTCCAGAACTAAAGGCCTTGTGCCATTGCAAAGGCCTGCACTGATGCTTAGATTTCTAATAAGCATACAATAGAATTCGTTTTCAATCGTAAATCATGGAGCGGGAATTCGGCGGATTAAGCGAATTTAAATATTTTGGAAGAATAGCATCATTTAGATCACTATTATCACAGTTCTTGACACTATCTATACTGGTGTAGAGTTTTTCGGTCTTGACGTCCAACAGTTCGACAACTTATTCGTTTATTTCTTCGACATCAACATTTCTTGCAGAAAGTATTGCAGATTTGGTCAAGTCCCTGAATCTTCCTTCTTTTAGTATTGTTCGTCGACTTTTCGTATGAGGAGCGAGGGGGTGAAGCGAAAACCAGGGGTGACCTTAGGTGACCATTGGCGTTCAAATGTAGGGTGCCACCAGCTCACATTCCTTTCGAGTATTAGATTAAAATCGACGGACTTTACTTCTCATAGATGTTTTCAACAATATCCGAATTATCAATACATTTCTCCGACAATTTTAGATTGTCGTTAGAATCATTTAGTGTTCGTTATCGCATAAAAATGGCTCAATTTCAGCAATAAGTGCTTAATATTGGCCTTTAAGGCGGCAACCGTTCGAGATTTGTCAACATAGACTTTGGATTTTAGAATGCCCAGAGAAAAAAATCCAGTGACGTTAGGTCGGCCAATTGTGGATTCTGAAGGACGATCGTTGACATCATAAATTGCACGGAGTGCACGAAACGTTTTCCGAATAGAACATTGGTTTTGATAATGATAATAATTTTTAACAATTCCGACGCGTTGCTCAATCGTGTAGCGCTCCATAATAAAATGCGGAGACTAATTGAATACGGCTGCCAAAGATAGCACCTGTGTGACTATCGAGTTTTTCATGGGCTATTGTCAAACATCGAGCGTTACTATTGGAAAACCCTATACATACCTAGATTCTTCTATTGGACCTAGAAAAAATATTAAACCACTTCCTTGCTTTGAAAAACAACCATCTACAGAGCAATATCTAATAGCACAGCTAATAGGCATATTGTCAGAGAATTGTCACATAAGTAACAAATTCACAGTCCTTCACAAAGATGCAACCGAGGAGAACATTGAAAATGCCGAAGCAAACTTCAACGCTAATGCTTGTGATTATTGTGAGCTTTGAGATCCGCTAAAATTCAACCCTTTCCAGATTTTCCAGAATTTTTCCGACCCAATCCAGAAATTTCCATGCGTTTTCCAGACGTTTCCAGAAATTTCCAGACTTTATCCAGATTTTTCCAGACTTAGCTAGACTTTATGCAGACTTGTCAAAATTTCTCCAGACCTTATCAAGCCTTTTCCAGAGGTTTCCAGACATTTCCAGACTTTCCCAGACTTTATCCAGACCTTTCTAGACTTGGCTGGATTTTTCCAGACTTTATCCAGACTTGTCTAGATTTCTCCAGACCTAATAGAGCCTTTTCCAGACGTTTCCAGAAATTTTCTGGCTTTTCCAGACTGTATCCAAACTTATCCAGACTTTTCCAGATTTAGCTAGACTTTATCCAGACTTGTCTAGATTTCTCCAGACCTTATCCAGCCCTTTTCTGACCTCTCCGGACTTCTCCCAAACACTTTCCCGACTTCAAATACACTTTTCCAGACTTTATCCAGACTTGTCTGAATTTCTCCAGACCTTATCAAGCCTTTTCCAGACGATACCAGAAATTTCCAGGCTTTTCCAGACTTTATCCAGACTTTTCTAGACTTGGCTAGATTTTTCCAGACTTTATCCAGACTTGTCTAGATTTCTCCAGACCTAATAGAGCCTTTTCCAGACGTTTCCAGAAATTTTCTGGCTCTTTTCCAGACTTTAGGTATCCAAACTTGTCTGAATGTCTCTAGACCTTATTAAGCCTTTTCCAGACGTTTCCAGAAATTTCCAGGCTTTTCCAGACTGTATCCAGATTTTTCTAGGCTTAGCTAGATTTTTCCAGACTTTATCCAGACTTGTCTAGATTTCTTCAGACCTAATAGAGCCTTTTCCAGACGTTTCTAGAAATTTTCTGGCTCTTTCCCAGACTTTATCCAAACTTATCCAGACTTTTCCAGACTTAGCAAGACTTTATCCAGACTTTATCCAGACTTATCTAGATTTCTCCAGACCTTATCCAGCCCTTTGACCTCTCCGGACTTCTCCCAAACACTTTCCCGACTTCAAATACACTTTTCCAGAACTTATCCAGACTTGTCTGAATTTCTCCAGACCTTATCCAGCCTTTTTCCGACGTTTCCAGAAATTTCCAGGCTTTTCCAGACTTTATCCAGACTTGGGTAGATTTTTCCAGACTTTATCCAGACTTGTCTAGATTTCTCCAGACCTAATAGAGCCTTTTCCAGACGTTTCCAGAAATTTTCTGGCTTTTCCAGACTTTATCCAAACTTATCCAAACTTTTCCAGACTTAGCTAAACTTTTTCCAGCCTTATCCAGACTTTATCCAGACTTGTCTAGATTTCTCCCGACCTTATCCAGCCCTTTCCTGACCTCTCCGGACTTCTTCCAAACACTTACCCGACTTCTATTATGTATAAGTAATTGCCTATCTATGAGTCGGCACTCAATGTATGCAAAAGCGGTAACAACCTTGAACTAACATAAACATATCGATTTTATATTCCGATTGCCTTATTTGCATAATTAAAGCGGTGACAACCTTGAACTAACATCTCGATTTTATAGTCAGATCCTACAAAACTGTGTAGGTTCAATTTTTTTTAGACTGATGCAGATATGGAGTTTTCTAATATAAGATATAGATGGTGTTATAAGTAGTTCATTATTCGAAGTTAATATTGAAAACTGTATTATTTTTCTTTTGGTAATTTGCAAAAAAAAATAATTATATTCGGCTTTTGATCCAAGGAATATCTTGACTAAATTTTGCTTAGATTCGCACAACGTTAAGCTCTCTTCTGAAAAGCGAAATTCGATAAATCCGGGGAGTAAATCGGCAATTACTTCCGTTGGAGATGATGTAAAGTGCTTTGGTGTTTTGGTGCATTATATGCACTTTCCAGTTAGAACAGCAAAAAATTACTTTCGGATTGGATTTGTGACCTTACATGTTTTAACGTGAAAGATTACCATTATTGAGAATGAGCTTTTTAGGGTTTAGTAACCTATCAAATTCGGTACAATTTTTAATTTTCCAAAATTCTCAAAATATACAAAAGTGTTATCTAGAAGTGAGAGTTACTTGTTGATTGCGTTTCGGCTCCGATTGGTTCGAGGTGTTCTTCTGTCCTTATTAAT